AAAACACGAATAAAGAATAAAAATACGAGATGAACGAGCGATATTGTCTAGGACGAGCACACAATAAGCACAATCGTAACAGCGAATCCAACATAAAAAAGTTGAAAGCACAGTGCAAAAGATTTGACAAATCTGTAATGTGTTACAGCTAACTTCAGCTTTCTCAGCACTTTATTAATCCGGTGTTTAGAAACTCTACAATTGTGGTAGAAGAATTGCACTAAATATTCCCCTAAATGATTTGCAGAAAGCAACACTGCTGAAATTTTGACAGGTTATGGTCAACACCGGAGCCAACTTCAGTGTGTATGGGTGTTCTGGCAAATGTATTTTTTTGTTATTTAATGACTCCTGTCAAATTCCTAGACAATATAATAAAAAGAGTTGCTTTCACCCTAGACAATATAATACAATATAAACGGCTTTCACAGTGAAATGTTCCAAATGTTCTTAGCGAATATTATTACAAAGAACGAAAAGTTATGGTTGATTAGGACACCGTCAGGACATTAAAGAGTGTTGAGATAGCATGCATTTTGATAAACATAAGAGTATGTCAAACGTATGATGTGTATTAAATTTTGATATTTTCAGTAATATTCTTTAGATTGTGTAAATATACAAAATTAACGAAAATTGTGTAATAATAATAATCAACGAAGGACTATTACAGTTATCAGTAATGGACTATAATAAACATCATTTAGTTTCATGTTATTGTGTTTATCCCTCTATAAATGGCTTTTGGCTCTTTGTCATGCTATTACCTGAGGTGTTGATACAAAGAGCTACGAGGTGTGAATGTAATTTTTCATTCGCTACAGTACAAGTTGAAATAAAGCGACTGTCTAAGTTAGACGAATTATAAATAAAATAGAAATCGGGAATAAAATATAAAGTGACTAAATAAATTGTGTAAATGCTAAACTAAATATGAACTAAAAGCTAGGCCTATATGTAGAAAGTACCTAAATATTATATATTGAAGAGACGTTAGTAATGAATTTACTAATTAATGATTAAATCTAACCAATTTTTAATAACTTCTTGAGTAGATTAGAGTTTTATTTGGAATACTTAACGACGAGAATTGGAACATTTGTAGCTCTTCTGGAAGTGTGTGAAATCAAAGAATTTATTTAGATACAAAAATTTATTTAGCGCTTTATTATAATATTTTAGTTGTTACTTCTTCAACAGTTCAGGACTAACTAACTTTATATTCTTACATTTTTAAAATATTTCCAATATTTCTAGTTTTATGATAGCTTGCTGAGGGTACTTGAGCTATCATAAACTTTTATTAAGGGTTGTCTGGCAGATGTACAATATAATCGCAACATTTACTGTTACTTGGGATTATACATTGTTTAAATGAATTTACTTATGACTATTATTTATAATTATAAAGAACACAATTGTCAACACCTCCATTGTGAAAATTAAGCCGTCCTCAGCTTATTACATAACATTAGCGAATTTCAGGTTGTAATTAACTGGTACATTAATAACTAAAATCTTTATCTTAATAACTATAGAGTTGATGCATAATGAATATAACAACTAAAGACATCAAGTTTTATTTATATTTTAGTAAATCAAAACACTTAGCTAAACCTTAACATTATTATTGTAAATTGGACTTTTTCTTTAAATTCTAGATTTACATTTACATTACATATTTTATGTTTAGTTTATTTGTGAAAAGAAATATTATTTTTATTATTATTATTTAATCAATAAAATTTAATTGATAATTTGATTTATGTGATAAGTAATATTATTCTATTAGATTTAGCAAATTAATTAAATGCAATTCAATAATAAGATTTTTTTTAGAAAATTTGATAAAGATTATGTTACTTCAATTTGTTGTTGTGCACTTGTACATGTTTATTATGGATGGTAAAATGGTACTATTTATACTATCGGTTTTTAATATTTTAAAGGGACCTTTCCATAAGGGCAAAAGTTTTTTGCATCGCCGCGGATACGGAGTTTCATCTCTCAAAAGGACATACTCATCGATCTCAAAGGTTTCAGGATTGTGACGAAATAGAAGTTAGCCGTCAAGTTGAAATGTATTGCATTCATAACTTTGACAGCTAAAACCCTAGACAATATAATAATATGGCTAAAACCTGTCATTATTATCACAGCCAAACAAGTATTATTATTATTATGATTATTATATTGTCTCATACCAAGATGATAGCCTTTACCTTAGACAATATATTACGTTAAAATACAATATATCTTGTTCCCTCATAGCAAATATTGCAGAAAAAACGAAATATATATGTCAATTCCAAGACATGAAGTATTTCGATTTAGTATTATTACATCAAAAGTGTTTCAATTTTATTTCATTTACTGAACCTTCTATTTGTTTTTGTTGAGTTTCAGTTAGCTTCCACTGAATTAAGGTTAAGATCGTAACCAAACCCTATAAATATGTAACTGTATGATAAAAGGTAACCCTATGCGTAAAACGTAAGCCTAAATAATTTTTTAAAACACAATTATAACTAAAACATTGTATAAAATCTAAGCTAGACTAAAATGATCTTTGAATGAAAAGAATCCTAAAACATAACCCTAAAATTAAAATAAGAACTAAATAGGCGCGTAATCAAGAAGCCAAAGCGAATAAACTTGAACGGACATTAAAAAAATAAACACAAAAGAAATGAATCATAACGAAACGCTAAAAAATATTAATATTGAATATGAAACAAGCGTACTTGATAAAAAAAAACAATACTCCGACGCAACGCTGTTATAAAAATGAACAAAATGGTCGACGCGCTCTTGACATCTGAAATGCTTGACAGCTTGATATCTGTCTTCGCCGGCAACTTCATGCTGGCTGAATTGTGCGCAAGTGTCAAAGTCTTGATTTAATGCCTCCTATGCTCATAGATAATTAAGCTTGTTCGGAGATAACTCCACATGATGATGCTTATTATTGCTTATTTATCTATGACTTCTCATTCCATTGTCAATACTCATGCGCCTAGACAATATAATAATGCTCCTGCGCTTTAGGTGTTTAGTTAAGTTCAAGTTTATTCATTAATATTAAGTTATTTTTATTTAATTTGTAGCACTTTAAAATTTATCTGCAATATGTTTTAGTTAATATTAGTCAGTTATTTTTGTTTACTTTATATTTCTTCAAAAATTTGTCTGTGATATATTTGAAAATGTATTTTGTATTTCGTATGTTTTGTTATTATTTCCAATATTAAAATTGATTCAGATTTTTTGACTGTATTGATTATATGAACAAATGTAGAAGCAAATTATATGACACTCTGTCAGTGCATCGTGGACGCAGAATTGAACGTTTTATCATAAATTTTTGAAATGCAAGATATTTCATTTATTGAAGTGTTATTTATTAATTGTTTTTATATCTAGTGTATAATCAGTTGTAGAAATTAGTTAAACAGTCAGCAGCAAAAGAATTTAATAAGAAGGTGAATATAATTGTACTGAAATATATTTTAATTAGGAGGCATTAAATCAAGCTAAGACTTTGCATAATTCAGCCAGCATGAAGTTGCCGGCGAAGACTGATATCAAGCTGTCAAGCATTTCAGATGTCAAGAGCGCGTCGGCCATTTTGTTCATTTTTATATCAGCGTTGTGTCGGCGTATTGTTTTTTATTAAGTAGGCTTGTTTCATATTTAATATTTTTTAGCTTTTCGTTATGATTCATTCTTTTTGTGTTTATTTTTTTATGTGCGTTCAAGTTTATTCGCTATGGCTTTTTGATTACGCGCCTATTTAGTTCTTATTTTACTTTTTACAATTTAGGGTTATGTTTTAGGATTCTTTTCATTAAAGATCATTTTAGTCTAGCTTAGATTTTATACAATGTTTTAGTTATAATTTTGTTTTAAAAAATAATTTAGGCTTACGTTTTACGCATAGGGTTACACCAAAATGTTGATGTTGGGGGGTTTCTCAACCCCTTTCGAAGTATTTTATACTTCGAGGAAAAATAAAAAAATTAAATGTATTCAGAAAACAAAAACCAATGGTAAACAAATATAAATTAAAAATAAAATTCTTCTTACTCCGTAATCAATAATAAACTAAAATATATTCTATATAAATTTTATATAAATGAAAAAACAAAAATGAACACTAATTAATATTGTATGAAAATGTTATCTGTTTTGGAAGTCCAAGCCGCGGCAGCTATTTGGTTGGATCTGGAAACATCAGCGTAGTCGGTTGGATAGGTTGAAAAGAAATTCGAATACACTGACAAATAAAAATAACTGTTGACTTGACACACAATAGAAATTTAATCCACTGATAATATTGAACTGATAACAAACACTGAAAGGAACTGAATGTATTGATTGCAAGTAACTGAATGAATGAATTAAACCAAAATGAATGAAAACCACGGAATAAATCAACTCGAACACTGTAAGGAACTGAAAGTAACTGAACGAATGAAATTCATTATTTTTGTTAGGGTTACGTTGTATACATTATTAGGTTTGGTTTCGATCTTAACCTTAATTCAGTGGAAGCTAACTAAAACTCAACAAACAACAAATAGAAGGTTCAGTAAATGAAATAAAATTGAAACACTTCTGATGTTATAATACTAAACCAAAATACTTCATACTGTCTTGGAATTGACAGATATATTTCGTTTTTTCTGCAACATTTGCTATGAGGGAACAAGATATATTGTATTTTAACGTAATATATTGTCTAAGATAAAGGCTATCATCTTGGTATTAGACAATATAATAATAATAATACTTGTTTGGCTGTGATAATAATGATCTTGACAGGTTTTAGCTGTCAAAGTTATGAATCCAATACATTTCAACTTGACGTCTAACTTCTATTTCGTCGCCAACTTCATGCTGGCTGAAATATGCAAATGTCAAAATTCTTAGCCTGATTTAAGGTGGTGTATTTTAATTTATAAATTATTATAATAATGATTAGTCATTTTCAGTATATAGGTCGTTTTCAATGCAAATTTTGTTCATGTATTGTGATAATTGATTTATCATATAATAATTGAAATTTCTAACGTCAAAAACATAACCTCAATCTATTGATATATGAATATTAACATAGATAAGAGCAGTAAGATATATGGTATTATTCATATTTATTCTTTATAGTTCCATTAGTATCAGAACTATTGAGCTAAGCACAAATTGATATAAGTTGGTTTTCAATTGTAGAAAGAATGATGGAGTACTGATAACCCCTATGAAAATGGATTTCAAACTAGGGAAATTTGCTCCAATCAAGAAGGTAAATACAAAGTTAGATAAAATACTGGAAAATGTTATTGTCGCCAAAGAGACAAGCAAGACTTGGAAACATGCAAGAGGAAAATAGAAAGAAAAAAGAAGTTGAAGAGAAAATGATCTATTGAGTATTTCTTAAATGATCTTATGTTACAGAATTGGTATATAATATTCTATATAAAGAAAATTTTAACTAATATGATTTAGTACTAATTTATAATGTCTTACTTTTAGGAAATTTACATCTTGAAAATTAAGAGGATTAATTAAGAAATCAATGCAACAAACTTATCGAGTGTTTGTTCATAATTAGCTGGCATATGTTCTTGATATGATCGTAAGGATTACATAGCTGTCATTATAACTTCAAAATAATGAGTATGTTCAGAGGTATTTTTTATAAATGTTCACAATATTTTCTATTCAAAATTTGTTGACAATGTTTTTCACATGTTTGGTTCTATTTTAGATACATTAACAGATGCAAGTAGTGGTTTCAGATTGTCAAAAATACATTGCCAAGAGTTAAACAATAAAACATAATACATATTATGAATAAATAATTATTTTTATAGGTTAAAATTTTATGGGTTATCAAATTTTATTTTTTTAATGCTGTAAAATAAATTGATGATTTAGGCAAAAGCATGTCCAGCCTTTAGGGAACAAAAAGTGCAAAAATTGCAATTCAGTTTTAGAAAGGATGCGGAGACCGATTTCTGAATAATTCAAAAAACATTTTACCTGTATGAACGGTATGAAGAATTAACAAAATTTTTAGAAAGGCAGGTCCAGCAAACTGCGGAGAAAAAAAAACTTAACTAGCGTGTGTATAGTAAGGTGCCTGGAGGCAAGTAACTTACCAAAGGAGGAGTTTATGTTTCTGCCCAAAAATCCGATTCGCTAATTTTTTGTTTTCTTGACGTTTCTAGTGATTCTGAATCGAATGAAACCAAATTTGGAAAAAGTATTTGCGTGAGATGTGTGAGCCTAAATTCAAAAACCGTTCAAAATTTATTGGTTGGGAATCTTTCTCATTAGTTTTTGGTAAATCATTTCTAATTTATTTTTAGATAAAATTCGCTAAGGCCGTAGCCGCTATTAGATTTGCGAGACCATCAACTAAGACAAAAAATTTTGTTTACGTTTCCGCAACAAAGCCTAAACCGATTTTAAAAATTAAAAAACCGTTTGAATTATATCATTTGGAAGTAGTGGTGATTAGTTTCTGGTAGAGATCGGCCATTTCTTTGTAATTAGATATTGAAAAAAAATGACAAAAATTTTATAGTCCTACGACAAGTGGTTTATTTTAAAAATTTATCAAAGTTTGAAAAAATATGATTTGTATGAAAATTTGTATCAAAAGTCGCTTTATTGATGTAATAAGTAAAAATTCGAGTTTCGCCAATGCTTTTTTCAAAAACACACGTAATGATTTCACAAATTTAAAAGCTATTGGAATAAACTCGATAAGGAAAGCCGTGATTTTCAAATATGTCGATGTTTTTTCAAGTTTTTAAAATAATTCGATTATTCAAAAATCTAAGTTATTTTAATTTTTTCAAAATTTTGAAACCCTTGCCTTTCCGAAAAACTAATCATTCATCATTACAGACTAGATATTTTTAATATCGGATGATCTGTAGATACTGCGTAACTCTTTTTGCAACCTTTGCGCTCTGTACCCCAAAAAATGCTAAGCCTACCCTTGACATAACACTTTCTCGCAGTCAGGGCGAAGAAAATATTTTTTGAATCACCCTTAAATCAAAATTCAAAAAGATTTATTTTAACCCTTGCAACGGAAACTTTCAAATCAGACGCTCCGTTCTCTGAAATATTTTTAGATGTTTTAGTTTAGGTTTCAGCTTTATTCTATAGTATTTATATATACAAACGTATACGAACAAAGAAATTAATTTTAAATGATTACTGGCAAGTAATATATTATATTAGTTCAGCATGGTTTAATTTAATACCGAAAATGAAATATAAAAAGCATTTTATATGTAGGATTCAACTTAAAGTTAAAAAAATGAACAGAGCCCCAATCATAGATAAAAGAAGAGTATTAAACCCCAATTTTACTCCAAAAAAGCTTATCAATTTAATAACTTTGGTATTAAACATGATACATCAATAAAAATGTCAATACCACGAATAATAAGTTTGATTAGAAAACGAATTATATTCTATTTCATAGAAAATGATCTATAAATTTATAAAAACAGTTTAGGATCCTTAGAATAAATTGTCGTGACATTTATCAAGTTTTAACATATTGAAAAATTTGCTGCCCCTCAAATCAAATTGTGCCGCTCTAGGCTCGGGCCTATGGGGTAATCCAGCACTGCCACTAGTTTTTAATCATGATGGGGTCGTATCGCGCGCGTTTATGACGTCTATGTAATGCCCGGGGACGTAATCATCATTGCATATGTATATGTGTGAGGTAATGGCGGGATTCGCGGTCGTATCGTCTACGATGACGCGGCTGAGAGTCATGTTTCCCGCCTGTTTCGTTTAAACATAAAATCAGCTGTGATACAGCTGTACACTTGTTGTGCCGATCACGACCAATAAGCTCAGCGTTCATACTTTGCGTGTGGAGAACAAAGATCGATTAGTCGAAAATAATTTTAAATATAAGTTGGGTGATGAGCTGTAGAGAAGGTGATATAGAAATGATTTTCATTTCTACTTAATGTTTGAAATTGTATCGTTTTTGGGGAGATCAAAATATAATACAAATGCTTTTTTATTTTTTTTAAATCTTTATCTAAATGTCAGATCATTCGCATAAGGCTTGCCACGAATTAGGAATAATAGTCTGTAATAATGCAATGATAATAGCAATGATATAATTATTAAACAAATATTTTCAAAACGGCATAGAGGGCGGAAGATCATGAGCATTAAATATTATACGATGATGCAGTATCACATTTTGAAGAAATGCTCCTTGCATCATTAACCACACCCAAACAAGATATTAAAACACTTTGATTATTCAAGAGAAACAGACACTTTTTTTAAAAAAAAATTATTTCTTACTACTTAATGCACGTGCCATTCAGTAAGAAGAAGAAGTTGGAAGAGCTAACACATAGTGCTATTTTAGATTTTCATATTTTAATTTTAAGTTATAATACACCGATGATGAAACAAACCTAGTCTCGAAACGTTTGTAAAATTAATATTATTGAATAAATTAGTACAAAAAGAGTGTTGTTTGTTCATATTTCTAAATTAATATCTAACCACTCAGAATACATATGATATATATATATATATATATATATATATATATATATATATATATGTCACTCTTGCATCGGAATACAGTATAGCGGGATGTATTTTACAAATTCATAAAATAACTCATTCAAAAAATTTATTATTGTTACATTTAAAGTGACAAGAATTGGTTTCATTGTGCATTGTGAACAATTATAATTAGGAAATAATTAGGATTATTACAATTACATAGTCCACTGAAGATGACACAAAACTATGTGTCGAAACGTATGGAAAAAATAAATAAAAACGTTTTAAAGTCATACAAATTTTTTAATTGATGTATTGCCCTGAAAACGGAATATCATATATATATATATATATATATATATATATATATATATATATATATATATATATGTATGATTCCGAATTTGATGTTGACATATGTATTAACAAAGTCTAATAATCGGGCATAACATCAATAAAAAACATGAATTTCTTTCAAAAATTTATTTTAAATTCATACGTTTCGGCTATAATCCTAGCCTTCATTCAGTGGAAAAATTAGTTGATCTTAGTGTTTACATCTTCAACCAGTCTACAAATAACACACTATCCATTTGTGATTTTTTAAAATTAGTATTTTGTGAAAATATTGTGTAATTTCAAGTTAATGTTTATAATACATAGTGTAGTGCATTACCATATCCTGATACCATGGATTATTAAAATTTTCCAATTTAACACTAAGATCAACTAATTTTTCCACTTAATGAAGGCTAGGATTATAGCCAAAACGTATGGATTTAAAATAAATTTTTGAAAGAAATTCATGTTTTTTATTGATGTTATGCCCGATTATTAGACTTTGTTAATATATATATATATATATATATATATATATATATATATATATATATATATGAAAAAAATGTTTCTTGGGCATCCATCCAATAATTAAAAAACAGTTTTATTGAAAAATGTTTTTATTAAGGGAACATACGTTTCGGGTCCTGATTTGACCCATCTTCAGTGCATACAAATAAATTTTGAAAAACAACACAGAAACACAAAATTGCACGAAAAAATAAATGAATGTGAAATAAAAAATTGATGAAACGTCTAGTTATGAAAAATTTAAAAAAATGTAAAATTAATATAAATGATATATTTTATTATAAAAAAGCTTATTCCAAACGATCATGTTGTTAGTTTGGGAATTGTATTACGAGTGTGTCCAATTTCCAAACTAACAACATGATCGTTTGGAATAAGCTTTTTTATAATGAAATATATCATTTATATTAATTTTACATTTTTTAAAATTTTTCATAACTAGACGTTTCATCATTTTTTTATTTCACATTCATTTATTTTTTCGTGCAATTTTGTGTTTCTGTGTTGTTTTTCAAAATTTATTTGTATGCACTGAAGATGGGTCAAATCAGGACCCGAAACGTATGTTCCCTTAATAAAAACATTTTTCAATAAAACTGTTTTTTAATTATTGGATGGATGCCCAAGAAACAATTTTTTCATATTATTTCACCATCTGAAGAAAAACCTTTCGCTTTATATATATATATATATATATATATATATATATATATATATATATATATATGTTGAAAATGTTTAAATTTGATGTTGAAATGTATGATAGATTTCTTGGAGGGCATAACATCAAGTAAAAAAAAAGTAAAGTAAAGATTTTTTTCAAAACATCTTTATTTATCCATACGTTTCGACGTAAAATTCTATATATATATATATATATATATATATATATATTTCTATATATATATATTATATAATATAATATAGAATTTTGTGATATGAGTGGAACGAATATTAAATGTTAAATAAGCAACACTCAGATTTTTTAACAACTTTATTTTATAATTACAAACGTTTCGAGACCATGGTGTGCCTCATCTTCAGTGTAATTTCAATAAACAGTTACTTATTACTATACATTATTTAAAATTTTATTTAAACTATATTTAACTTTTGAATATAAAAACGCCAACTACTCCTTGCATTGACAAGTCACTTGTCACTTGTTTTGTTTTTCATATATACTTTTCATATCTACTTTCACAATATTTTTTTTTTTTTTTTTTTATTTCTGTTAATTTTAACAATCAGATTACAATACAATCTATAAGTTAAAAGTTATGGCATTGAAAATCAAAATCAAAAAGAAAAAAAAATAGAATAAAGGAAATTAAAGAAAAGAAATAGAATAAATGAATGAATAAATAATAATTAAAATAATAGTATTAATAATAAAAACGATAATCAATAATAAATAATAATTAAAAATAACTTGTTTGAAAATTTTCCTGTGCGAAACAGGGAAATTATGTTGTTGACGGTAGATCACTGGGCCATTTTCTTTTCAGGCGTTTTAATTTTTCGGCTGTTTGTACTATTTGCATTTCCGGATTGACGTGTGCATCCAATTTGTTTTGAAAGATAAAACTTCTGTTCTTAATAACTTCCGCCACTGTTGGAATTTTTAGGTCTTTATGGATCATGTGGTTACTTTCACAATATATATTTGTTTTAAAACAAATTTATTAAATTGGTTAGATTTATGTTTTTTTACATGTTTTTATTTATTTTTGTCTGTAATTATGTATTTTTTATATTGTTTCAAATTGTAACCCTGAAATATTTAATTGTGGCACTGAAGATGGGTCAAATCAAGACCCGAAACGTATGTTCTCTGAATAAAAACATTTTCTTTCAATAAAACTGTTTTTAATTACTGGATGGATGCCCAAGAACAATTTTATCATATATATATATATATATATATATATATATATATGATATTTATATATAGATTTTTTTGTTCGACGTTCTGACATACTCGACGCATATATCGTCGAAATCGAAATTTTCGAAAGAAAACAAATAAATAAAAATATGTCTCAAAGTCGAACAAAAAAATTTAATTTATATATATATATATATATATATATATATATTTCAAAGTAACTAGCAGCCGATTTGTCGAAATAAAAAGGGTATAAAGTATTAAAAACTTTCATTTATACGTTTCGACACAAGTTGCGTGTCATCATTCAGCAACTACAACAATTTGAAAATTTTATTAACTAATATAAACACCAATATAGATTAATTATAACATAGAGAAACATTATACACACCACAGGACAAAAACACTCAAAAAAATTTTATTTTAAAAAAAATTAAACTTATAACATATTAGAAAAATTTTTGTGAATTTTGTGTCGAAACGTATAAATAAAAGTTTTTAATACTTTATACCCTTTTTATTTTGACGAATCGGCTGCTAGTTACTTTGAAATATGTTTCAACGTCGAAAAAACTATCAAGATATATATATATATATATATATATATATATATACAATGTATATATGTGTGCGTGTATAAAATACGTATATATATATATATATACATTATATATAATGATATATATATATATATATATATATATATACCTATACCTTGAATAATGATTTTCAGCCAGTCGTCAAAATAAATACAAATAAATACAAATATTTATTTATAATATACGTTTTGACACGGATTGTGTGTCATCATTCAGCAATTCTTTGTTAACAGTATCTAAAAAATATTTACAAGGTTTTAAAAGAATAAATTTAATTTTATATTTAAAATAATCAAAAGATATACATACCACACCGGGAAAAACCATTTTATAAATAAATACATATAGAAAAACCAATCATACATTACATATAAAATAAATATAGAAAATGAACAATTTTAACTGAACATGTTTTGTTTTTAATTTTAACTAACAGATTTATAAGTCATATAAAACTTCTACATGTACAATCGATGTTCGATTCCTGTGGTAACAGCACTATGATGGCCGCATGATTTGCTAAGCGCTTTACCCGTAGCCGCGCGCATTCGGTCAGTCATACCGGGATTCCGTGTTGTCATGAGTTTTCCAACACTAATCGCGCCATAATGCCAATACCGTATATCGTATAAGTAAGACAGTTTACTATTGCATTTTTATTATGCTTTTTTTTATAGAATCGTGTGCAAAAACCTGTGAATTATCTTAGAAGTTAGTGTTTTTAAATTTACCATTTGATCTTAAAATTAGCTATTGAGAGTAGATGTGATTTGATTTTAGTGGCTTCTAAAGTATTTTTGTGGTTTCGTTCAGATTTATTATTGTTTGGATGTGTTTTGGATAATTACTTCATTATTTGGGCATGTTAAGATAAAAGCGTAGTGGTGGGATATTGAATTTCACTAATGATTTTGTAAGAGGGTTATGAAGAAATGTTTTGATTTTAAAATTTTTAATGTTAATTCGAAAATTTGCAGTGTGCTCAATTTGTTGAAAATTGGCGCAATATATTCCTGATCTAGAATTTAATTCAAGCAGTTCTGTAATTGTTTTAAAATTTGGCAATTCTCAAGTAAATTCTATAGTTCTTTATATATATATATATATATATATATATATAATTTATTTTATTTTCTTTATTTTAGCAATCTCCTTTGCTTAAATTCTCGCGCGTTACATGTTACTGGCGGCGGCATGTCTTGCCACATAGACGCCTCAATTTCCCGCTTTTCCATATTTGAGAGTATTAGGTTCTCTGCATATCGTTTATGTTTATTGCTTTTCCAATATATAATTATTATATTTTACTTTCATCTATTTTGTCATAAAATTAATGTTTCTCATTTTGCAGGTCGAATGTTTTGATGAGTAGACTGGAAAGAAACATGCCTTATGAAAAGTAAATATATTAGATTTAGTTAATTTAGAAATGATTTATTAATTTGTTTTTTATAATTCCAGAACTAAGCTACTTTCCACTAGAGAATTGGGGTGTTTGAAAAGAACACATGTTGAGGCTTTTGATGATGAGGTATGAATATGTATATATTTATTAATTTTATATTTATATTCATATACTTATTTTTACGTTTTTTTTTGCCAATCAATGCATCGAATAAAAATATTAATACTGTGAAAATACTTATATCTTAAATATTATTGTAGTTAAATTCTGGAAATAATTAAAAATGATTTTTTTAAAGAAAAAATGATATAAAATTATTTCAGAAAGATAAAATTATAAGTATTTTAAAAACTTTTTATTTTGTTTCGTTTATATGCACTGAAGATGAGTCAATCCAAGTCTAGAAACAATTGCTATTTTAACACTTTTGTGACCATCGATATTACTGAAAATTTATCTCATGTCACCAGCTATTATTTATTTATAGGATTTTGAAGTAAAACAGTAAAAATAAACTTTAATAAATTTGACCTTTTATTCAACTTTTAATATTTTTTTTTCATATGATAAGTAGTATAACAATCATCTACTTGTAATGGTACACAACAGCTTTCACAAATACATCTTTGGTCACCAACCATTGGCCTACAAGCACAAGTTAACTTGTGACTGGACAGCAAAGTTTGGTCATAAAAAAAAGTTAACTTGTGACTGGTAATCAAAGTATTAATGCAGACATTCTTCTTCATTAAATTCTTTCCATTATTGGATGGATGTCAAAAAAAACATTCAATACACATATATATGTATATATATATGTATATATATGTGTATATATACATACATACATAAAAATCAGTAAAGTTAAGCATTGTTTAACAACAATATTTGAAAGTAGAGGAAAAAAGATGTATAGCCAGCTACAAACTTGATTTGAAAACGATAATTTTTGAAATGGGGGAGATAAACGGTAATCTTTGAAAATCCATAATAAAAGTATTTTCTTCCGTTGGTAGTTTTAGCATTAGTTAAAAATGTAATTATTTTGTAAAATACCTTTAAAATTATAATAAGGCTTTAAACCTTTTGCCACCTGCCCGTTACAAGTTACCCCGCATATAGGATAAAAAGGTCTAGATAACAAATTTTTGGAAGACATCAAAGAAGCGCATTTCTACAATGATGAAGTAGAAGTCAATTTACTGAACGTAGTCAGGTAATTGTTTGTTTGATATGTCTTATTTGTTGTGATATAATTGTTATGGTTTTCACAATATAGTTTATATTTGCTCAAAGTCAAATTGGACCTTTGTGTCTCGCCCTGCTCTACATATGTACTTTTTTATTAAATTTACTTTAATTCATCGAATGTAACTTGAAACTTTTCAAAAAGCAGGTCAAAGAAGAAATACTCATTTTTTATCTCTCCTCGCAAAAATTTGAAAATTTTGTATAAGCTCAGTAGTATTATTTACAATTATACACAAAATCCAGAATCCAAAAAGAATCTGAAAAACTTGAAATGTAATTAATAAGCCGAAAGACCAAAAAGACTCGGTTTGGCTTATACGATGTTTTCTATAGAAAGTGTATAAAACTTGCAGTTTGATTGTATTGACAAAATATAGACAAACTAATGGGGTTTATTGTTTTTATAATACCTCATTGTATATAGCATTCAAACAGCACATCCTTATGCACTTAAAGTATTAATGTTTTTGATTCTCTAGAAATGGTTTAGAATATACCTTATTTAGCAAAACAACATTTGCCGGGTCAGCTAGTAAGATATATATATATATATATATATATATATATATATATATATATATAATATATATAAGAAATATTTCAATATTTCATCATTCAATACATTCACTGTTTTATTCATTTCAATATGGATCAACGTCGAACCAAAAATCCTTATATATATACAGTAGAATCCGCTGAGTATGACATCGAAGGGACGCCGAAATCTCGTCATACTAACCGGTCGTCATACAAAGCATACTGAAGAAAAACTTTTTAATATGTATATATGTTACATGTTTCAGTAATTTAAAAAAAAGCCTATACATACATTTTAATTAAAAATAAAAATGACACATATTAAAATTTAATATAAAGCAAAATTGACATAAGGTAGGGCGGGGCACAAAGGTTGAATTTGACTTTCAGTAATTATACTCTCTAAACCCAATGATCAACCTTGCAACACATAACACACATCAAACAAGCATCTATCGTACTATGTACAGAAAAAATTTCACATAATTCTTAATTATATAAATATTATTTTTTTTACTATTTTGTTAAAAGGGTTTTTACGCTACATTATTGAATCAATGCAAAATATTAATTCTGTGGGTACATTTGTTACAAAGATAACACAGTATATTACATTGATCTGCTATTGGTCAGAAATATTCATCAGACGAGCTGGAATAACAATTTATTTAATTAATCTCTTGTAAAATTGCTTTTTTTTAAAAACTTTACTATTTACTTTGCCAAAGTAAAGGTTCAGCTGGTCCTTTTTATCCCACTCATGTGCTGCTTATCTTCTGATAGCAAAGTCATAAGAATAAAGCTAGGTGATGGCTGTTTATGAATTTATACATTTTTTGCCCTCTACTATCAAATATTTTTGTTAAAAAAATCTAATTTTATTTGTTTACGAGATATCCGTGGTGGACCATTAATATTTAGTCCACCCTACCCATAAACATACAAGTATGATTTTCTAATGTAAGTAATCAGTAATTTTTAATTGATTTCTTTACATAATTTTATTGTAAAAACAGTCCCTAGTGCTATTGTGCATAAAAGACATAGCAATTGCTTTCGTAGACTTGGCCACATCATGTAAAATCATGTCGGTCATTATAATTGGACATAATTTTTTGCAAAAATGGGTCATTATAAGCGACATGTCAATGTAAGCAATGTCAATATATCCGACTAGACAGCTGTTTTTTTAAGGAATTTTATATGGAAACCAAATTCCTAGTGCGATTACGTCATTATAAGCGGTTGTCAATATATCCGGCGTCATACTAATCGGATTCTACTGTATATATATATATATATATACAGTTAAATGAGATGTTATATATATATATATATATATATATATATATATATATAACATCTCATTTGTCAAAATAAAAAAAAGTTAAGAGAAAATATTCTTTATTGCTATTCGTTTCGACACATGATGTGTGTCAATTCAGTAATCTACAATACAGACATATATGCCAGTTATTTTTTTTTTTAAATTAAATTCTTATAGACATATATGTCGGTATTGTAGATTATTGAATCTTGACACATATCAAGTGTAGAAACGAATAGATATTATGGTCTTCTAGATCATACTAAAATATTACTGCCCTGCAAGTCGTTTAATTTTAAAAATTCGTCAAAGTTTGCAGAAAGGGTCTGATCATGTTTCCATACAGAATTGGCCCCATTCTGGTATTTAAACAATTTTGATGTCAGCTTTTTTCGAAAAAATCCGATATACGAATTTTCAACTCCCTAGCTCATCATTTGGTCGAGATATCATTGGAAATATGTGAAAGTGACCCTTTTTTTTAGAGTTACTTTTTGTCATAGCTGTAAAAGATATCGACAAACAAATAACACTATTCTATTCACATCGGTGTGGACTATATTATTAACTAGCTGTAAGTGGAATTCTGTCTTAAGGCAATTAAGGCATCGTGCCTTAAGGCAAATTGCTGGAACTTCCCGTACCAAAAATTATTTTTTTTTTAAAAACGACTAACATTTTTGAAGAAAATTTACTTAAAAAAAATAAGATTTTTGACAAACAATTAAACAAAAAATTACTTTTTTTTGAAAAAAAAATTTTTTTTTAATTTTTTTTTTTATTTTTTTTTTGAAAAAAAAATGTTTTCTTTATTTTGACATATTTTGAAAGATCTAAACTTTTTTTTCAAAGCAATCGTACTGCTTTAACTGCATAAAGACGAAATATCAAACCGCGTAAGCGCCGCGTCGACGTCTAACGCGTAAACATTGGTACGGAACCCATAGGAATGTAAACCAAAATTATACTTATTTTTAAAATCTCTATAAAATATCTATTTGATGTGCATATGTCTAATGATCATTTTTGACCGCCAAATGGCATTTTTTTTTACTTTTTTCATTAGATCTCCGAAACCGCTAGACCTGCCTTTACGAAAATTTGATCGGTTCTTCACCTTGTCAATACAAGTAAAATGTTTTTTGAATTATTAAAATCGGACGCTCCGTTCTCTTAAAAACTGATTTACCGTTTTCGCCACTTTTTGCACCGTATCTTCGGAACGGCTAGACCTGACTTCGCCAAAAACTAATCAGCACGTCTCCTTATCAATACGAATCGAATGTTTTTTGAATTATTCAAATCGGTTGATCGGTGTTCCCGAAATCGTCGACGAAAATTTGTATCCGCACATACATACACACACGCACACACACACAGACACACACATACATCCATTTTTTCTAAGGTATGCCAAAATATTCAGAAACCTTTGAAACGTCGAGAAATGCAAAAAATTTCATTTTCGATTTTTTTGCGATTACTATAACTTGCTCTACGGGAAGTTAAAAATATTGTTAAATAATCATTTGTTCACTTATGAAAAAGTAAAAACAATTTTTTGTTCCAAATTTTTGGATAGTGCGGTTGTTTGCACTAATTTTTAAGTAGCATCGTTAGAATGGCTATTTCTTTTTCTTGTGCTATGCAAAAATTAGTTTTTTGTCCATGTGGTAGAACACATTCAAAAGCTGAAATATGAAATAACCTGAAGTGGTCTCTTAATTGCAAGACTGCTAGAGTGTTCGCAGCGCGCGTCTTATAACAATTTCTGTATATTCGGCATTTGATTTTTAACTTCCCGTAGGGTAAGTTATAGTAATAGCAAAAAAAATCGAAAATGAAAATTTGTATATATCTTTACGTTTCAGAAGTTTCTGAATATTTTGGCATACCTTAGAAAAAATTGATGTATGTGTGTGTGTGTGTGCGGATACAAATTTTCGTCGACGATTTCGGGAACACGGTTCAACCGATTTCGATTATTCAAAAAACATTCGATTGCTGTTGA